TGGGTATTATTGAAACAAATTGAATACATAGTTATGATAAGCAAGGGTGACTCTACCAAAATTGTGAAATTCATGGCCCCAGGGTCAGGGGTTCTGGTGCTAGGGCGGGGCTATATAGATCATATAGTGAAAGTGCATTATTTCTTTGAAAATCTTCTTCTCTACTCCTGGATATTATTGAAACAAATTGAATACATAGTTATGATAAGCAAGGGTGACTCTACCAAAATTGTGAAATTCATGGCCCCAGGGTCAGGGGTTCTAGTGCTAGGGTGGGGATATATAGATCATATAGTGAAAGTGCATTATTTATTTGAAAATCTTCTTCTCTACTCCTGGGTATTATTGAAACAAATTGAATATATAATTATGATAAGCAAGGGTGACTCTACCAAAATTGTGAAATTAAAGGCCCCAGGGTCAGGAGTTCTGGTGCTAGGGCGGGGCTATATAGATCATATAGTGAAAGTGCATTATTTCTTTGAAAATCTTCTTCTCTGCTCCTGGGTATTATTGAGACAAATTGAGTACATAGTTATGATAAGCAAGGGTGATTCTACCAAAATTATGAAATTCAAGGCCCCAGGGTCAGGGGTTCTAATGCTAGGGTGGGGATATATAGATCATATAGTGAAAGTGCATTATTTCTTTGAAAATCTTCTTCTCTACTCCTGGATATTATTGAAACAAATTGAACTCCACAAGGAATTTAAATAGTACAGAAGCACTGATAGTTTGTTAATATACTGTATGGTGATAGTGATAAATTGGGAACAGATTTGAACCTAATTTATGAACTGTTTATGAATACTAAACTAATTATTTTGTTGATCCCTATCACCCTATTTTTCTTGCTTTTGGGCAACAAAGTTTCACCTTTCAGTTCATTTTATACTCTAGGGATCCTCTAAATTGTTGTATTATACTCAGGTGACCGTTAAGGCCCTTGGGCCTCTTGTTTGCCGTAAACAAACAGGGGATTATAAATAATCATAAAGTGTATTATCCCACCACTGCCCTCTACAAATCTCGAATTTATACTTATTTCTCAAATGCTTAGCTGTATTTTTGTGTAATTTGAAAAAGGTAACTTGGGATGTACTTAAATGATCAGTGCCGTTCAGTTTTCAAAGCAGAAGAGTTCAGTTTGCAAAGCAAATGCTGTTCAAAGACAAAAAATGCTTTATCATTAACCTGCGCTAGAGGTAGAGATAATGTACTCTATTCTTCTGAAAAAAAATCAATTTTGTTAAAGATTTACTGTAAATGCATTTCAATTTTTACAAATAGTACATTGTCAGTAAAGGTAAACATAATGATTTTTCAAAAAATACATACACGCAATTCATTCTCCAAACTTTGCCTTATACCAAACAAATTAAGGTATAAATGTGCACAAATTAAAATATTTGATCTAGAATGAAAATGACAAATCTCAAGTTATCTCTCTTTGAATGACCTATACACTGTAAGTATAATTTTGCAGTTCAGTCTTGGCATCTCACGATTTTTTCTTGAAATAATTGGGTTTATGTCTAATGTTGTCAAAATCAGGATTTAAAAATAATTTACGCATAAATAATGTAAACAAAAACAAACAGTTTCTTGAGATGCTGTCCAATGGTCATAAATTTCTCTTAATCCGATACATTGAAAATAAATTTTAAAAATCAATTTGAAACAAAACTCGGGGGGGGGGGGGATGGGGGATCCTTTTCGATCTTGTAACATAGGAAGAAAATCGGTGTAGATTTAGGCTGAACTCAACCAAAGTACATGTACAATAAACACTTATATTTTGTATTACCCATGGTGGGAGTGGTGAGAGGCAATTAATGTTAATCAACAACTTTGAGAAAAGGTTCCTAAATTTTTACAGATTTAAAATTAAAATTATGAGCTCACAAAAAGAAGAAGAATGCATGAAAACAAACTAATGGATCATATTAAAGGCAATGAATGTCCTAAATGACATCCGAAGAAATTCTTTGTAAAACGTTTTTCTTTTATCTTTTTATCTGTTCAGAAATTTTAACCGCTACGTTATTCTTAATGTTAAATGTTATTATTTCTAGATGCATAAAACAATGACAATTAGTCTTTGCAGAAAATTTCTGCAAGGTCTTGAGGACAATATCCTATAATTTTATGTCGATCTTAAGGGAATTTAAAATTGTTCAAAATCTGTTTCAAGGGGAGATAATTAAGAATTGGTGAAAATTTAATGATATCTTTTAAAAATATTCTTCTCAATAACCACCAGGACAGAAAAGAATGAAACTGTAAATTCAAAGCTTTATTACACAGTGTAGATTCAAATTTGTTCAGATCGTGCTCTCCGGAGCTAGGGGAAGACCACAATAGACGATTTAAGTTTTACATAGGAATATATAGGGAAAAAATCTTTGAAAATCTTCTTCTCATGAACAGCAAAGCCATGATTAGTCATATTTATATGGAAGCATCTGTAAGTAGCTAGTGTAGATTCAAGTTTGTTCAAATCATGACCCCTGAACCTAGGGTGGGACCACAATGGGCGATCAAAGTTTTACATAGGAACATAAATTCAAACAAATGCCATTTGTTGATTGTAGATAGATTATCAAAGAAGATAATGGTAATAGTCAGGTTGCAAGTGCCTTTTCTTTGAAAGTGTAAATGACTGCGATTTTGGGGCGGGGTACTCCATGTAATTCGGAATTAGATACCATGTGTTATAATTGAACTATATGTGAAAAAATTATTGCAGAATTAAACAAATGCCTGTGCTATCTTCAAATAATTGAACCTATCTCTAAGTGAATTAAAGATGGGTTTAATTGAATTAAAGATAGGTATGATTGAATGAAAGAAATGTGTAAGTAATTATACCCATCTTTAAAGATTAAATGAATTATATCTGAAATTGACTTACAGCTATCTTTAATTCAGTTATAGATAGGTTCAATTGAATTATACACAGGTGCTCGAGGACAAGACCCCCCCCCCCCCCGATCCTGTGCCCCTGGCCTGTTCGACTTTTTTGTCATGAATTATATATGGATGACTCATTTATGATGTAATCTCTATATAATCAATTCGGAAAATTGACTTAAACAAACATTTTATAAAAATTACTACCCTACCCTATATATATAAATTAACCTTGTTGATTTTTATATAGAGAGTAGGGTAGATTTTATAAAATGTTTGTTTTTGGTAATTTTTCGAATTGTTGGTATAGATTATATCACAAATATGTCAATGAAAGATAATTTATGAGAGAAAAGTCGAAAAGGCCCGGGGGTCTATATCGATGGGGGGGGGGGGGGGGTCCTGTCCTCAAGCACCTGTGGAATTATACATATCTTTAAATCATTTGACGATAGGTACAACTGATTTAAAGATATCTACAAGTCAGTTAAAGAAAGGTCAGTTAAATCATCTCCAGAACAACTTGAAGACAGGTGTAAGTCAATTATACCTTAGTTCAATTCAATTGTACCTCTTTAAATCATTACATCGATCAATTATACGGTTTATACCTATTTTTATTTTGCTTAAAATGTTTAATATGGCGTTCCATATTTATATGCGTCAGATTCTGATACGGATACGGATCCTATAGTGCTGATCAATATGGCTCTGCAGTGCTGATTCTGAGAAGTGTATCACTCCTATATATAGAAAAGGGTATTATCATGTATTATTCTCTATTTATAACATTTCTGAGATTAATATGGATGCATATGCATGTACATGTGACAGGTGGATATTCTGACTCATTCATTTTTGTTTAAAGACTGAATCTCTAAAAACTATGTATTAGTTTTATAATATGGGTTATGGGAATTTAACTCTTTTTTTTAGAAATAGCTATAGCTTGTCCAGAAAAAATGAGTTATCAGATTACTTGGGAGATATACTGTACATGGAAACACACAGTACTGTTCCTTTAAATTCATTTCATAACCAGACATACTCTCTCTCTCTCTCTCTCTCTCTCTCAAAATGAAAGATATATTTCACCTTTGAAGAAAGATGTTTGTTGTGTTATCATATCGACGGACTGGCATTGAGCGTGACCAAAAACCGCCATATAACCTTGTTTAAGATGTTATCGATGTACCTCATTCATTACTTATATGAAGTCATAAACAATAAAACAATTTTTCCGCATACCATATCTGTTAATGTATGGTATTTCTGAGTAATGAATTTATTTACTGTGGAAAAAATGATTTTTTTTTCTCGATAAAAGGTAAATTATAATTAACTTCATATATTTTTAAGTTTTTGATCTGAAAAAAACCTGAAATTTGGCCGTCAGTTTACATGGCAAAACGCAAAATTATATCATCAGGTGAGCATTGTTACCAGAGGAACTCTTGATCAATTAGTATTCCATGAATGAAGAGTTTTTACATGAGTGCAGTTAATAAGAGCAAAGGTTGTACGGACGTGCAACTTATTTTTTGGCATGTGGGATTTTTTTAATATTAAAAAGAATCGCTCTCCGATGCATGCAATATCCATCAGATTTCACGTTGCCTTTACATATACATGTATATAGACATTATCTTGTATGCTGATGCGATATACCTGTACATGTTTGTGTTTAGCTGGTCTTGAAAATACAAAAAGTAAATAAATAATTATTTTAAAAATACGATACCATTTTAACATGATTTAAGAACCTTCATTATCCATTTAGATGAATACTGAAACAAAACGTTTTTGACATACATGTAAAAAAAAAATGGTCATGGTTAATTGATATACTAATTGAGCAATACATTACAAAAAAGCACTCTGTTAATCCCGATTTTTATAGTACAAAAGTAATGTCTTTGGGTGATTAGATGACATTTACTTTTGTCTTACACGGTCGTTTGTGTTGACCCTTTTTTCCTTTCCTTCTATTGTGGTCAGTTCGGACAGTATAAAAGTCGAAACCCGGTTCTATCATGTAGACCCGGATTCAATACTGGTCAGAATTGATTCTTTTGCCATAAATCAGTATGGAGAAACAAATGCTGATTCTTTTGGTTATCTTTTGTGCCGCTTTTGTTGCTGAAGGTAAGTTTTTCTTCAGGACCACTATTTGTTCTTGAGGGAAAATCCTTTACTTCCCCTAAAATATTATTGTCATTTTGATGTCATTTACTAATTAACAATCTTTAATTGTCAATAAGTACATGACTAATTAGATTGTTAATTAGTTAGAGACACTTATGTAACGAACACGGGCAATAATTCTAAGAAAGTGAAAAATTAAAATCGACTTTAAAGATATAAGATAATACAGTATATACATGTACATTTTTAAAAGAAAAAACTGTAGAATCAGGTACAATTTCATTAGTATTGACAGAATTCATCTATAAAATAGCATAGGCAAAGATGTTCATTCCCACTTTTTTAAACACACTTTATTGTTCTTCGTTTCATTTCATTTAGATATTTTGGTAAGCAAAAACGTGACGAGGGACCACTAAACATTAAAAGTACAATTTCAAAACATAACGCTTGTCAGTGTCTTTCGTGAAAATATGTGAAGGTCAAATTAGGTTACGTGAGATAATCAGACTTGCGTTGCTCACTGGTCAATGGGGGGGGGGGGGGGGGGTGGAGGTCTGATGGCCAGGATTTTTATTGTTAGCTCATTCCCAAAAGACACCACCATAAATGTATATTCCCCCCTTTTTTTACCGCGGAATAAATTTATTTTCCGCAGGAAAGTTTAGTTTGACGCAATTTTATACTTTACAACAGACCAATCCTTGCATTTAACTGATCGAGGTAAAAATGAATGAATTTGATTTTCATACAACATGCATTACTCCTCCCCCATTTCCCCATGCTTTTAAGTAATGTATATATATATATATATATTGAATAATTTAGTCTCAATTTTTCAAAAAAAAAAAACAAAAAGTTATATGTAACTAAATGACTTCTTAAATCAAATTTCCTAGACCTATCATTGGGGTAATTTATCGACACCCAATCGATTAAGAACTATACATGACTGCACGGTATATTCTTACAAAATACTGCGTTTTAGAAATTCCACCCTATAACCCCCTCCTCTTTCCTTTTTTTTTCTCGCTATGATCGTACTATACATAACAAAATAGTATCTAATGGAATTTTTTAGTTGTAACTAAATAGCTCTGACATAATTCTGTGAATGAATTTAATTACCTAATCAATCTCAACCATAATAAACTTAATCTACGTGGGTGATATTAATTCATTATGTTAATCAGGTACTTTATAGCCATAAATCAAACAATTTCAAGTTTTAAGAAATGTATAGAAGACTCATGTACTGTTAAGAAAAGGTACCCATGCGAATAGCCTTATACATGCACATCAAATAAAATGTGTTTTTATCAAAGTGGGAGAATGCGTCAGGTGCATAGAGGCTGAAGGTGCACCAAGGCTGGGTGGTGGAACGCATACTTTATCGCTCAATGTAATATTTATATGTAATGCATCATTATATACATACATGTATACAAAGTCTATCCATAATTATGAAATACGACGCTCAGGTTATTATAGTGGTTAGTGATGCACCTTTCAAAAAAAATTACAGTTATATATGGAATAAGCCCTAACGAAAAGATGCTATAGCTTACTATAAGTTAACTTATTATAGTTACTCAAGTATCAACATTTTTACTATAGTAAATCAAAGTATTTTTACTATGGATTTCAGATTGTTATATTTCTTGTTCACCTTTTCATACTTGCACATAATTATTTTATATTAAATGGAAACTCTTACTTGTATATTCACATATTATATCCCAAACTGTACATCGAATTTAAGAGAATTAAAAGCTCTGAAATCTGAAAAAAGCTCTTGAGTAAAAGTTTCGTGTGCAGTAAATCAAAGTATCAAAGTATTTACTATAGTTTACTATAGTAAACTATAGTAAATTTTTGTTAGGGAATATAGGGAAATACCAATTTAAGGTCTCGCGATGGAAGATACGTGAAGGGCATCGATTTGCGATTGACCTCATACCCATTCTATAATCTATAGCTGCTTTATTATATGCTGCATCAATTTAAAGAGAGTATTTATTGAATAAGTTTACTCAGATATAATTCAGACATCCCAGAGGCATTCAAACATATAGAAGTTATACCACAGGATCCCAGAGGCATTCAAACAAACACAAAATTAGGTATAGAAGTTATACCACAGGCTTTTTTTAATAAAATTAGTTTCAAATGTTGATTCTGTCTACTAACACATGACTAATGATTTCATAAATCGCAGAACGCTCGGCCTAATGGGCATTTTGATGTAGTACAAAATATTAATGAGATCAAAAAGTAGTGAGTAGCAACAGGGAGTAATCGTCAAATGGGGGAGGAGTGCATTTTTACTATTTCAATACTAGAAAATATTTCAAATCAACAGTTTACATTACTTATTTTATTTTGAGGTAATATCAGTAGGATTTTAATAAATTTATACATATATTTATATCTATGACACAAAAGTGCCACATACTACAGGTGCAGTGACCTTTCTATATATGATTTACTTCTTTGATTAGTCTTCTGCTTTCGATTTTACAGGCTTTAATTATCAGCAACAGTACTGTCCTTACGGACAATGGCCGCGAGGGTACTGCTATAGTGACTGGGACTGTTACTATGGGTCGTACTGTTTCCGTGGTTACGGCGGCTATGGATACGGTAGCGGGATCTGTTGTCCTAGCAAAAAGAGTGAGCAGGGTTTTATCCGTTTAGTTAAACAATTTTCGTATCGCTCTAAAATAAATATACATATTATTACCTATATATAATATATTGAAGAATACTTCTCATATAAATTTTGCTCTGATGCAACGATCGAATTATTGGTAATAAAATTAATTATACTCTTTCTTTTCTATACATTATAGTGGGTCCATATTACTGACGCAAAGGAACAAGACTGACTCTGTACAGAATATATAGAGAATCAGAAATAAACACTGTATAAGACTAATTACGTGTGTATGTCATAAATATAAAATTCATAAAGAGCCTAAAATTATTACATCAAATATGACATGAGTGAGATTTGCTTTCTCATCATATCGTAAAAATGTCTCGTCAAAAGCTTGGGGTTATATGAGAGGTTATTATTGTATTTCAAACTTATAAAAATGTACATCTATTTCTGTTTACATTCACAATTCTAAAAATAAACTCGTAAACAATGCTTTTTATTTATACAACATTTTTTTTACATGTCGCCCATGCATAAGTTTCCGTAGGGGCTATGCTTAGATGCTAACCCACCCACCCACCCACCCTTCCCCAGAAAAATACAAACATAAAGTAGACAGTGATTTAAAGGGTTTTGTGTTACAAACTAGATGTTTTGCGTGTTAAATTTCAGAAAGAGAGACCAACTTTTTTAGAGTCATGTTTGAATACTGAAACTTAATGCACACGTACTCATTCAATTTTTCTTTTGAGTTTAGTTTAAGTCTTTCTTGAAGGAAGCATGCAAAACCATATAAATATTGCACAAGCTACTCAAACGAACACGTTGGTTAAAATGTATTTCAAAAGTACATGTGTTTGGAATAAAATTGAAAGAAGTATAGAGAAGAAAGACATTATCTATCTAATTGCTTTATTTATAAAAAAAAAAATAGTATTTGACAAATGAAAAAAATATTCTCCTTTCAAATTGATAAAAGAAAAGGGGATTTTCGTGGTGCCACATAAAGAAGCTTTATGTTTATTTACATTGTTAAATTACGATCTATATATATATACATACAAATATGTACATGCAATAACTCATCCACAGCCAGTAAATAAACCGAACAAGACCTAAACAATGCGCTGGACAACTGAGCAATAGTTAACCTTCATGCCAAATTGATTATCACAATAAGACGATTATTCATTAAGACAAATAACATCAATTAGTTTTTTATGTTAACAAATTATGGTTTTTTGGGTTAGACCAAAACAAAAAATCAGCAAAGTCTGTATTTATGAAGACGAAAGAGTTTTCCATCATTTACGACATATCCTCTCTGATCATTGACGGTAAAAACTATATATATAAAGAACCTTCCCGTGGAGGATTGTAGCAGTGGACTGGACACTAGCCATCATGCAGAAATTCTTTGCATCTCTGGTATTCTTCTTACTTCTATGCAGTTTTGCGTTTATTGAAGGTAAGTAAAAAGATAAATCTTATTCCAGATTTGATTAGTCAAAGGCAAGTGTCAATTTTAAATTATTTGAATTTCTGACAGAATATTGTTTCTGATTTTTTTTCTAAAAAAAGTTCACTTAATTAGGCTGGCCTTTATTTTAGTGGAATTTAATTTCAACGTTGTTATTTTGATAATTTCGATTTTCTTTTAAAAATAAAGTTATATAAAAGTCTTCATAAAGGATTGTAATAAATAACATATTACTTTGTTTTACACTTAATCTTTAACAATAAAAAAGATGCACAAATATTTTCTCTTGATTTTTGTTAATAATTGTTAATAATTAGGGGTTCCTCTAATATGAACGTAGCGTGAAATTTCATTAAGTGTGCGTAGAAGTTTCCTGATATGTCACAAGAAAGTTTTTAAAATGCTGCATTTAGGAGTTAAAGTCCAATAAATGACACAGTTTTCATAAACTATCTTTAGATTGAGTGATTGTGTTTTACGTCCCACTCGAGAATATAAATCTCTTAATTTATTTCAGCTAGAAAAAGCTAACACATACACTATTGACATAATATTGACACCCATTAAAACTTAGTTTCAATTACTCGTAAATGTACGAGGATTGTCCCAGGAAAACGCGAACTTTTTCAGTATTTTTCGTTTCACTAATATTATAAAGTTAAAAATTGGCATGCACTATAATCAACATTTTTTACATAATTCACAGAAATTTCAATAAAATATCTCTATAAATAACATTTTTCTCTCTGATAAATCACTCATTCAAAGTAGCTCCCGGCGCAACACCGACGACGTCAAAAACGTAGCTCGTGGAGTTTTTGGATTTGTTCCGGAATCGTGCGTCTTTAACTACTATATTTAATATGATTTTTAAGAACTAGTATTATTCATTGTAATTGAACAACCTCTTCATCGTAAGATGTGATTAACAAATACGCAATTACTTGTGATTTCATCAGACTTGTAAGACTCTAATTTTCCATATAAAAATGATAAGTTTTTATTCATGAATCACAACTCTGGTATATCAGTGTGACATTTTAGATACATTATCAATAAGAATGTAATCACATTACAAATTTAATCCAGGACAAGACTTTCAAACCCAGAGTTTTGGGGGAGGGAGATGGGGAGGAGGTGGAATGTGGAGGAGATGTCCCTGGGGGTACCGAGCACAGGGCCGCTGCAGGAGAGAATATGACTGTGGATTCGGCACAAACGCTTTCTGTTACAGAAGAGGAGGATCCTGGTACGGTTACGGTACTTGCTGTGCAAGACGTGGATGGTATGGTAAGTCTTAACACGCAAATGACACCATGTTTTTACACGTAGTTTATTTTAGAAAAAAAAATGATTTACAGGTATATGATATGCTAAATCTTAACATATTTGTATACAAATTTGAATAACTCCGGATGTGAAATTTCGAATTTCAAACTAGTTTTAATATAATCCCCCATTTACTAATAATTAAAGACATATAAATACATGTGTATGATCATGTTAAATTCCTGAATTTCATACAAGTTTAAACTACGTCTTTTGATATACGTTAAATATTGTAAACACTCCATTTTTCATACATATATATATATAGAGAGAGAGAGAGAGAGAGAATATAAATGAAGTGGGGATGCACAGTTTGACGGAATTTGAATGTAAGAGAAGCTTAACTTTAATTTTTGAGGTTTGTACTAATTTTTGGGGTTTTTTTTTTCTTTATTCAGATCGATGGAATAACAACGACTGGAATAATCGTTGGTGATATATGATATGATAAAATTTGTTGTTGTCGTAAAAATAAAATAATTTTTTTCTTATTTTTGCTGTTCAATTGATTTTTTTTAACTTCTGGATTTACAGTTAATAGCTAAGATAATTATATCGTCGCTGCAAACTCAAAAAGGTGGTGTTTTTCCAATGATCCACTGTTTTGGGGATGTGTTAATAACCCATTAACTGTGCTTTGAGCATTCCGTAGTTTACTATAATTTCAAATTTGAGTTGAAAAATAAGAGATCAGTAGAATCAATGAGCACCTAGACTAAAATATTCCAGTGTGGTACAGTTTTATAGCAACCACATCTTCTCAAGCCTTTCCCGGCGGCAAGCAAGGAAAACATATCCGAGGTTGCTTTTCCAAGCCTGTTGGAAAGTTAAGAAAAACTAGGTATATGATAATTTTACAAATAACTGATCTTAACAGTCTTGGTATTATGAGACCCATTAGAAGTGTCTTTCACTAATTAACAATTTTCAATATTGCCAATGACTACATTACTAATAATCTAACTCATGTACTCAATGACAAATGAAAATCGTTAATTAGTGAAAGACAATGAAGTTAATAGAAATATTACTTTTGTACATTCATGCAAAGGTTAGTCAACAAAACATGAAACTTCAGATCATATGCATTTTCAGGTGATAAAATGATATCGACATAGTACAGTTTATCTACAGTAGTATTCCCAGAAGAATGTCCTATCATGAAGTCGCGATCGAGCGTGCGTAGTCCAGTAAAAAAGACTGACGTAGTTGCCAGCGCTCGAGAAATTCAAAGCTCTCCTAAGACTTAGACAACGTCATAACTTTATTTTTTCAATACCTGTACTAGATCAGTGGATTGAGCAATCAGAGGCAATTAATTAGAGAGGTTAAGCAGATGACCGTGTACGTTTACGTGTACGTGTAGCTAGGGAAATCCCCTAATTTACTGCGATTTACGTCATCAGTTTTGCATACCGCGTAATTCTACAAGTTGTACACAACGTGTAGATTCATAAGTACACGGATGTAAGAACGTGTAGCTTCTTAAACTCAAATTATAGAATATATATATTTCAGGCGGTGTTTGTTGTGATGTTGAGAGTTTATTACGTACATTTATGTATCTCCTTTAATGAAAGTCATAGAATTATTTGATACAAAAGGATTGTAAATTGACTTGTTGAAATGACGTTTTACACGTACCGGTACACGTACAGTTTGTTAAACAGAACGTGATGTTAGTTACGCGTACTTGTAAAAACACTTCTAGGTTTACACGTACACGTAGACGTACACGGTCAAATGTTTAACCTCTCTAATATGTCTCTTAAAGAATTTTTATTGACAAATAAATTTGGTGTTATAAGTGAAAAAATACTAGCAATATAATTATTTTCTTTCAAGAACGATTAATAAAGGACCGATATAAAAAAAATATATATAAAAACTATATACTAAAAAAGCTATAAAAACTTGCAGGGCATTGCCTTTTCGTCCTTTCTTTTATTTGATATTCTATATAAATATTGAAATACAGACGTTATTGTTAAGTTTAGAAAGACATCCAGAAGGTTTAGAAATTGCAAAGAACTTAACATTTATTATTTGTTGTCTGTAATTTTTTCAATTTTAAATAAATTTAATAACATTATGCATTCCATTCATTTCTAGCAGTCTTATTTTTACGTTGGACGTCAAAAATTACGTAAGTATTCATTGACAATTATTGTTAATCGGGGTGGATAGATTTATGGCATGTTGCTTATAAATGGTCTTTGTAATTTAGTGTGCCGAAAAACCGCTTCAAGGCTATTTGTATTTGCCATAAGTACAACAGAATCCGGTTATTTACATAAAAATATGCAAAAATTGATTTGTGTAACAATTATTCCGACTTACGCAGTGTATGTCTTAATGAGTAAAAGCAAATTATCATCAACACTTCACAGAATTAAAAAAATGTTTATGCTTCTTACCAACAAAGGATATGTGTTTACTGAGACTAGTACATCATTGGTATATTTAATAAATGTTGTAAGGATAATTGAAAATTATATCTCTGTCAAGATAATGACCACAGAAACGGATTACGTTAGATACATGTAATAATTCAATTTTCCTTATTTTCCTTACTTTCACAACATATTACGATGAATATGTTTAAGTCAGTGACCGAACTACTTTTCACAACAGTAATTACGGTGGTCAATTCAATAATAAAACCGTAAAGACATTGTTATTTACTTATATTTTCCTTAAAAAGACACACTTATGTTCTTTTCATCTCATAAATCAAGCTTCTATAACGTTTTTTTCTTCCTATTAAAATTTAAAAAAAATATGTTATTTATTTTTTCTTAATCAAACAATTACAATAAAAAGTCTAGTTGAAAAAAGAAAATTAATTAGGCAAATTATCAAGCGATATAGTTGCTGTTATTGGTTAATTCCAGGGATGACAAGGGGTATAACTATGTTAAGAAGCAATTGTTTTGCGTATTGTGCTCACAAGTAACAAAATTACACCAAATTTCAATAATTTGATAGCAATACTAGAAAACAAGCTTATCATATAGCTTATGAAAAATTAAGGAAAAATAAAAGAGGCTCAGGGTCCATATCGCTCACCTGAGCACTTTGGCTAGAGAAAAGTAGAAATAAATTCCGTTTTGAAAAGTATAAATATATAAGTTGTCCCACCTTACCCCCCCCCCCAACCGGGAGGAACAGGGAAGCTAGGGGCATGATTTTGAACAAACTTGAATCTACACTTACTGAGGATGCTTCCATATGTATATGTCTTATTATTGCTTTAAAAGATTTTTACAGACATATTTCTATGTAAAGGTTTGATTTTCTACTGTGGACAAGCCCTACCTCAGGGGTCATGATTTGAACCAGATTGAATCTACACTACCTGGGGTGTGCTTTTTGACTAATCATGGCTTTGCTTTTCTTGAAAAGAAGATTGTATACCTTTGGCTTTCTTAAAATGTACACGTGTAATTTACCATTTTTATGATACGTAACAATGCCATTGATCATTATGCTAGAGATCATAAGTATAAGACAATATACAATTAAAATTATAGACTTATTTTATATGATCAATATGAAATACTAGTAACGTTAAAATAAATAAGACCATCTTTTAAAAAAAAAAAAAAAAAAAAAAAAAAAAAAAAATTTTAATGTACTCTCTCGACAGACTGGGCGAAAATGGCTTGACTTAAAACTTGTTTTAAACTTCCAGAAAACGATTATTTTTTATTCATTCAGAAATTTTCTCGTTCCATATACAACTATTTTTATTTTGTATTCGTAAGTCTTTTTTATCCTGAGTCGGGAGAGGGCAAGCAAACGTTTTTCTTTTTGTTTTGGACATGTCACAAAATTATATTCCAGATATTTAATTGCATCACGTCAAATGCTCAGCATAAATAGTTATTATGTTTTATTAAAAACTGCATATACATGTATGTACATGTTCTAAATACCAAAAGTAACTAATAACAAACGAAAAAAACTATTCTTTTTACTATCTCTGATCGCATATCCTGATCCTTCTTAGACCTCCCAGGCACACTACAACAGAGAAAGCAATATTAACAAAACGTATACCAGAGATGCAAAATATATCAGGAATAATAAAGAACTAAAAATATAAAACGAAAAGGAGAGAAAAAAAACTACAAGGGAAAAAATGTATTGGACATGGACATGTGGGTACACACATAAAGTTTGGCTATCAAAGATGTAGGGAAAAGACATTCTTTCCACAGCCTTGGCGTAAAAAAATGTGTAATGGCCATAAATAGAGATTCTAACCTCCTGCTCTGGGCCCCAGGGGGAGGATATTATAACATTTTTTGGAATGGACCGTAAGAGGAAGTTGTATTCTATCAGTTGTTAAAATTAGAAAGCTCTGTCTTTATTCTGTCTAAGAACTACGCATTCTAACTCTCGATTCCCGCCTTTATTTTACACATTTAATTCATATTGATGACAAAATGGCAAATACAACTTCTTTGGAATGCAAAGAAGTGTTCAATAGTAATTGATTAATCATTTTTATAACCATGCAGTGTCAAATAGATAATTACTCTTAATTACGACTCTTATTTTAATAGGGGGTTGACGATGTTATCCATTGAAATCAAGCTTTAAAACATCACCAGATTTTAAACTACTCATGGCTATGGATTATTTCCCTATGTTTAACACCTGTAATATTAAATACATAAGACTGATAAAGTACATTTCTTTTGGTGATCAGTTGAAATTGGTATGGACATTTTCGCTGGTTTTTTGTCTGTAAACATATTGTAGAGTTCCGTTGAATTAATTGATCATAATATTTTGAAATGGTTCCTAATTACTATTTATTGAATATAGTTAACTTTTCTTGTTATATGAGTGTAAATTACAGGAAACTTACATTTTATTTTATTTTTTATCCAATAGCGTTATAATCAGAATTAAATTATAATACTGTTATGCTCAGGTACTTATAAAGTTTGATGAGTGTTATATTATTTATTATTAGATTATTGAAATGACATATCTTACGTATTAATTGGTTGTATTAAGGAAATTCAAACTGAAATGCCATACTTTCATGATGCATTTACTGATTCATTCCATGCGTGGCGCAGTGGTTAGAGCGTCTGTTCTAGAGTCTTAAAGTAAGGAGAGTTGATCCTTACGTCGCGGGTTCGAATCCACTGCGAGACGTGAAGACCGGTCATTCGGATGAGACCGCATAAACCGAGGTCCCGTGTCGCAGTAGGTGTTGACACGAAAAAGATCCCTCACTGCTCAATGCCCCTAAGTGCCGAGTATAGGTATAAATTTGCAGTCCTCCATCGGCATGCAAGTGGTGGCGTCTCCATATGAATGAAAAACTCTCGAATGGGATGTTAAGCAACAAAGAAACAAACAAACAAAAACATTCCATGCCTATTTGATGCATTTTTATATTGACTGCGGTACAACTGATTCAAATGATAAGAAATTTGAAGGACTGAGGATTTGATCACACATTTCCATAATTTGGGAATCTGACCAATTCATTTTGTTTAAAGCAAGTAATTTGATTAAAAGACACATATTACGAGTTATCTCTGATGCAGACTTTAAAAAATAGTTATTTTGTGAATTTACTTGAGTTCAGGTTTTATTTTGGGAGAAATATAGAGATAATGAATGAATTTTTGTGATTTTAGGAGCCTATTAATTATTTATCTTGTGATAAAGGGGCTATTGTATTCAGTAAATTGTGGAACTTGTAGCAGACTCTTTATTATATTTTATTTTATTTTTTTTATTATAATTTTTTTTTTGCTACTTAAATTGTACCTGGTATCAGGAAAACAATTAAATTATCAATATTTGAATTGCACCATACTGACAGACTGAAGCAAATCAGAGTGTAGGGTCACACGTTACAAAATGCCCCCCCCCCCCCCCCCAGTAAAACAAAAGCTTCGGTATGAATTTGCTAAATAACAAATGGATTAACAATACCTGTAAAACAAGGAATTTTTGTTTCACGGTTTCAGGTGGGGAAGTTTTAAAAATATTTTCCGTTTTCCATTGATTTCTATATTGAAAAGCACAAGTTTTACAATATCGCTCTTTGTTTTCCCCCAAAAAGTTTTCTCTTAATTGTCTTGGAGGTTGGCGGCAGAACAATGATTTCATTCGCAGTTCTTGATATGCGACAAGCATGAGGATATGATGAAAGCATTTTCCCGGACTTCCATATACCCTTCAAACTTTGGAGTATATAGGTTCCACTTAATATGCAGTACTACATTGTAGGCGTCATTAGAAGGGGAAATTTCAACAGAAGGAGACAAAAAAAGGAAGGAAAGGAGAATAAAACTGCAGCCTAAAAGCAAATAGATTGAATAAAATCAAATTGTAATTAAAAACAAGAGGCCCATGGGCCACAACGCTCACCTGAATAACTTTGGCCCTGCTGTTCTTCACCAGATGATCTTTTTGTAATACCTATTGTGGCCCCGCCCTACCCACGGGGATCATGATTTTAACAATTTAAAATCTACACTACCCTAGGATATTTCAATATAAGTTTCAGCTTTACTGGCCAAGAGGTTCTTGAGGAGAAAATTTTTGAAGATTTTTCCTATATATTTCAATGTAAAACTTGGATTCCCTATTGTGGCCCCGCCCTACACCCAGGGGTCAAGATTTGAATTCTTTAGAATTTACGCTGCCCCAGGATGCTTCTACAAAAGTCTTAGCTTTTCTGACCAAGTGGTTCTTGAGAAGAAGATTTTTTTTCTATATATTTCAATATAAAAATTGGATTTCCTATTGTGGCTGCGCCCTGCCCCCAAGGGTAATGATTTTAACAATTTAGAATCTACACTACCAAAGGATGCTTCCACATAAGTTTCAGCTTTTCTGGCCTAATGGTTCTTGAAAAAAGGATTTTTAAAGATTTTTTCTATATATTTCAATGTAAAACTTGGATTCCCTATTGTGGCCCCGCCCTTCCCCCGGGGTCATGATTTTAACAATTTAGAATTTACACTACCCCAGCATGCTTCCACATAAGTTTCAGTTTGTCTGGCTAAGTGGTTCTTGAGAAGAAGATTTTTAAAGATTTTTTCTATGTATTTCAATGTAAAACTTGGATTCCCTATTGTGGCCCCGCCCTTCCCCGGGGGTCATGATTTTAACAATTTAAAATCTACACTACCAAAGGATGCTTCAACATAAGTTTCAGCTTTTCTGGCCCAATGGTTCTTGAGAAGAAGATTTTTAAAGATTTTTTTCTATATATTTCAATGTAAAACTTGGATTCCCTATTGTGGCCCCGCCCTTGTCCCGGGGGTCATGATTTTAACAATTTAGAATCTACACTACCCCAGGATGCTTCCACATAAGTTTCAGCTTTTCTGGCCCAGTGGTTCTTGAGAAGAAGATTTTTTAATGACCCCACCCTATTTTTGTCTTTTCTTGATTATCTCCCCTTGTAAGGGGGTTTGGCCCTTTATTTTAACAATTTAAACTCCCCTTCACTCAAGGATGCTTTGTACCAAATTTGGTTAAAATTGGCCCAGTGGTTCTTGAGAAGAAGTTGAAAATGTGAAAAGTTTACAGACGGACGGAAGGACAGACGGACGGACGGACGACGGACAACGGGTGATCAGAAAAGCTCACTTGAGCTTTCAGCTCAGGTGAGCTAAAAAGTCTTTTGTGCATACCCCTTGTTTGAGTGACACCTGCGCCATGGCATTTAGACACTGTGAGATCGATCCTATTCTCATTCTGTAGCACATTAAATAACGTTTTCTTGATGCAGGGTATTTATTGATACAATTGTTTATCTTTCTTTTTATGATTTTTTTCCGGACCACACCCATGATGATGAACATTCTTTAAAATCTCCAGCCGACGAAAGAAGGTTATTGATGAAATGAACAGAGTTTTGATTAATATTTTATTACAATTTTCTTGCGTCATATTTAAGATCTTGGTGGGTTTATTTTACCTTTGATATGGCCTAATTGCAAATAAGAAATATTCATCGTCAAACAAAGTCCATTGTTCATGGAATCCGGAAAGGGCCAAGTAATTCACTATCGCACCATCGAGCTTCGACTAATGGGTCAATGGCGCGATAATGCGATGACAATGGTGCAATGACGCGACGGTGCGATAGCGCGATGACGATGATGCGATGGCGCGACAATGCGATAGCACGATGAAACGTCATTGGACATCGCTTCATCGTCATCGTACCATCGTCATCGCGCTATTGCTTCATCGTCATCGCACCATCCCGCTATCGCTTCATTTTATCACCCAAACTTCGATAGTGAACTACATGGCTCTATCCGGATTCCATACTTGATAGCTTTCAGGTAACAGTTTTGAAAAAAATTGCATTAATTCAGTGAACTACCACGAACACCGCTAATTTTCATTCTCAAGGTAGTGCAATATTAAAATTCGATAGGTGGTGAGAGACAGGGGCGAGATTGATTTAAAAAAAACCGAATCCTTATAAAGTTTGTATATCACTCGCAGAATTTTTGCATTATACCAAAATATAATGATCACTTCTCCAATAATTTTCCACGAGTCATATTTCATGAAAATGGTAAAAATATACTGTGAAACGAAGTTGTCTCTAAATAATTTTATTTTTAATAAATTACTTACCAAACAACACCAAACAACAATCCATAACGGAAAAATGCATGTTATGCACAAGTGCAAACAAGCCCTCTCGTAACACTTCTGACTGGAAAGATATTTAATAACAGTTGTACATATGCCAAGTTTATGTCAACATCAGTTATTTATTAGGGCAAACTTCAAGATTGTGCCAAACTTTAAAAGGTTTAAGAAAATGTACCCGTATTTTGGGATTCCCTTAGTTGGAATTTCCATCCGGGTTAAAATAATTTTCATTTCTTCATTTAAATACTGAAATCTTATAGTTGTCCTTTTTCTTAGAAGACCCTTAATTATTATCGATAAAATGAAAATTTCTTCATGCAACTTTAATCAAAATTCCATAATTTGTATAAACAGATTTTAAAGTGTAAGATTTATTTTGTTATTTTTTAACAATATAATTTACCTTGGAGGCTCCGTCAGATGTTGCGGCTGTGTGATTATTGCAGTCGTGTGGTATGAGGCACGTGGTTGGTTATCTATACCAGCGATAACTCGCAATCTGTCAGCGAAAGTCGCAATGGGAATAATATAATAATTTTGCAGAAATGTTTTCTTAAAAGTCATGATTTTCTTTATATGTCTTTGCTGACTCCCAAGTAACACGGTATCTGTCACCAAAAATCGGTTTTGTACAGCACTCAACTCATAAAACTGAGTCACCAAGTCCCCACATAGTTCATCATCCTCGAAAATGCATTTTCCGACCAAATTATCCGGGCTTATTAAAATGCACAAAACGAGCAGTGCATCTAGTTCATTTGTTGTCAAGGTATAGTAGTAAGTGAAATCAGTGAGTCGGTCCAAGTTTTCGTCATCCAAACTGAGAACCTGACAAATACACCTTAAATAGTACATCAACCTAGCCCGTGGATCTGCAGGAACTGTTACCGATGTTCCAATTCTTTTCAGCCCGATTTCTGTATTTCCAGCAAACATATCGTCCCTTCTACTTACCCGTAAGAATAACCAAGAAATATTCGGTTTACAGATAAGTGGGCTAACAATTTATGTGGATCTTTAAATTTAAAACTGCTAAATATACATATTATATAAGCGTCTTGTTGTGCACGCTAACTCTTTTTAATTCTGTCTATTTAACAAATATCTGTAAAGCAGTAACTATACGAGGCAAGATTCCATAGGTCTTCTAATAGAAAATTTAAAGGAATCCATGAATGTGGGATTGTATTAAATATTTCGTTTATAAACGCTAATAGTGTATCGATTCAATTTTAAAGATTTTTCCATTATTTTTTTTACTTATATATTTTATATACTTGTATGAATTTGCTGTAATGAATCTTTACCACTGTTTGCCAGGGGTACATTATGCATAATAAGAGCTATGCCAATTGTTTTAAAATAGATACATCACATTTACACAGTCAAATATACATGTAAAACATTTTTTAAATAACGGGGTTTTTTGATGCATCTAAATGTGTGAGCAAGTGTTGCTACCCCTACCCCCACCAACACCAATCTCTGTATAGACTGGAAAGTGGAAACACTATGCAGTTTATAAATGTAGTTGACTACTTGTAAGTTGATGTAAAGTTTACTTTTTTGCTTTACCAAAATCGTCATTTTTTTTTTCATTTTCTTGTTGTTCAGATGGTATCAACTTATTTCAGTCAGCATTAACAAATTTTATAGTTTATATTCAGATCAGTAGATCTAACAACAGAATTTGTAAATAATTAGAATATTGAATATTGTGATTTGACCTCTAAAAAGTGTAATATTTTAAAACTTTTAACTAATAAAATAAATTTTGTTCTGGAATGCTGACCAAATTAAATAATGGTTTTGATTTGAAAATGCATGTATATTCATTTACTACTTGATTTTTTTTTTCATTATTTCATTAAATGGTGGTTAGACGACATTTTGTACCAAGACCATTCCAAGTTTTTAGCGTCTACTTATTCAAAAACCTACCACCTATTTACAGACTAGAGTGTTCCAAGGAACGCATATGTCGCCTGCTACAGCATCACTACAGAAATAAATAAAAAGCAGGTTGGCCAGCTATATGTATTTATCTCAGAACAGTGCAATGAAATAACAGAGAAAATAGGAATACACAATTCTTTAATATGGAGTTTATGGGCACGGCTGTTTATACAAACAAAATGGATGGGCCGCCAACATGTCAAAGGGCTGTCCCCAACAGACAACAAAAGCAACGTATTCAACATCAATTGTTTACATTTTCAGTACATAACTTATTATTTTTCCAAATTATTTACAAAACATGGGCCAAGTTATAAAGCCCTATTTCCACATTCACAGTTAAAAATGATATTAAAGAGTGCTTGACCCTGGGAATTGCAGAGGTCAAGCAACTCATGATCTTGACCCTAGGAGGTACAGAGGTCAAGGACTTGTAGATTTTCACATTTTCATCATCAAGTCTGACAGTGCCGCTCATAATCGCCACAAGTTTCCTACAATAAGTGCAAGCAGTGGCAATGATGGTAGGAATCTGGACAAAGGGGGATAACTGAGTATTGCACCGTCTTCGAATCCATCTAATTCATATGCGATTTAGATGCGCAAGTAATATTTGCATACTAGTTCATGCATTTGTCTGCAAAGAAAAGAAACTTACGGATAGCATTTATCATGAAACTTGATAATCAAAGAGGAACATGATTCCTCAACCCTCAGAGCTAAAATGTACAAGCAAATTCAGAGAATTGTGGTCCCTTTCGGGGTTTCATTGGTTGGGGTGCATTGATTTATGACATATTGTAACGGTCTTGTCTGTTCATCATGTAAAAATGTTTTAGATTTTGGAAGCAATATGTTCTGTTGCATAAGTACCACCAAATTTTAAGTTCTTGAAAGTCACATTGATCTACCTCAGGAGGTCAAAAATCAATGTATATTGGGAAAGGTCTTGTTACAGGTAATGCACAGTCATGTAAAAATATGAATGTGCAAACTTCAAAGTGAAGGTCATGGGGTAAAAAAAATGATTTCGTTCCAAACGGTCTCGTCACAGATAATGCACATGTGAAATGTGAGTTCTATTTTTTCTTATTCAAAGGTTATTACCAAATGGTAAAATGTTTGAAAACATATCTTAAAATTTCAAGCTCAACGGGTCAAAAATTATTACGTTCGGAAAGGTGTAGTCACAGGTTATGCACACGTGAAATATAAAGTCCCGATCTTCTCTTATTAAAAATTTATGACCAGGGTTTAAGTTTTCGTGACAGACACACTCACAGAAAGAAGGACACGCGAATGAGATTTAATGTCCCCGCGCTTCATTTGAAATATGAAAGCCCTGTCTTCTCTCATTCAAAAGTCATAACCTATATTAAAAGTTTTGAAACGTTGCTCAAACTTCAAGATCAAAGGGTAAAAAAAATTACAGTAATTTTCGAAAGGTCTTGTCACAGAGCACATGTGAAATATGAAAGCCCTATCTAAAGTTATAACCAATGTTTAAATTTTTGAAAAGTAGGTCAAATTTCAAGGTTAAGGTTTCGGGGGTCAAAATTATAATACAGTTGGAAAGTTTTATCACAGGTGCTGCACATGTGAAATATTCTCGCATTCAAAATTATGACCAAATTTAAAAGTTTTCTGTGACAGAGAGATGAATGAGATTTAATATTTAATGTCCCGTACTTTTGCGAAAGGGGGGGGGGGCGATAATGAAACTGAAGTTAATCAGTCTGACAAGTCTTTTACACACTTGTGAATCTACAAGTACAATCTTATGCGGTGTAGCGATCCCGATTTATTTTCATACAACTAACCGAATGTATTTGAGTTTCAGCGTTTGTAGTTACTGTATACCTTATAGTTTGAAAGTACACCGTCTTGAGCTCATAAGCTTGAAAAAATACTTGAAAAATAAAGTCATAAGTTTAAGAAACTGACGGAAATATTTTGAAAAGTAGATCAAATTTTTTTTTTTTTTTAAATGTCTCATGACATACAGGGCACATGCTAAATAGTATATTCCACCTGGGGGTCTGATCAACGCTCTGTAACATTTTGTTCATGATGTTGGCTGGACAAGACGAGAGTTTCCTCCGTAAGAAGGCAGCGGTGTTGTCTGCCTTATAACAAACGCTGTCTATTGATGGTCTATGCTGACCTCTAGGTACTTGGTCTTGGTGGTAACAGCCAGCTCCTTCCCATGGATTGATGGGGTGATGTATTGTTTCCGTTTGGTGGTAATAACGGATAAGTCGCACTTGTCTGGGTTAAAGTGCATAAGCCAGTCTGCTTAATCCCCAACCTCGAGGTTTTCAAGGTCCATCTGGAGTTGTCCGGCATCGGCCTCTGTAGTGATGGTCCTATACAGGAGACATCCGCCCGCAAACAATCTGGCCTTGTAGCTCACTGTAGAAGGTACGCCATTTGTCATGTTGTAAAATTTTGAATTTACCGAGTGGCAGTAAATACAAAATTTATTGTCATGTAAATTTTGTATTTACTGCCACCCGATAAAATCAAAATTAATAACATGACACATTAATAAATACCAAAAATTTGGACCCAGGACCGTTCCGTTGAAACATGTTTCATTGATAGTTTTCAAGTTTATGTTGATTGATTTATAGAGGGTGTTCATGTTGTATAAGAAGAAAAAATCCTATAAGTACATATTTTTACCCTTTTTAACAAAACCAATGAACATTTAATATTTTTATAAAAAGAAGAGATTTAACCGTGAAATTCTGTAAATATGTACATAAATATTATATTTTGTATTAATATGAAATTTTCCATTTGGTATACTTTCATCATAAATTTTCCTCTTTGGTAACCTATTAATGAAGATGACACTAATTATGAACATTTAACATGATAGCAGTTAAATTGATAGATTTTAAAGTTATTTTGCTTTAATTTTGAGTTTAGATTAGCCAATTATTTCTTCAGTTGAGATAGTTTGATGAAAGAAAGGGATATACGTCTTCTAGAGTTTCTGGTCAGTTTTGTATTTTCTGGGCTTTTAATAAGACAAGATATTATTGTAAATATTCAAATTGAAAAACATTACCTTAAACCAAAATATGCCAAGTAGACTGTAAAATTTAGACTGTGCCAATACGTTTCTTTAATTAAATCATCCTATATGAATACATGTATTTCTGCTCCTACAGAATGGGTGGTAAACATTTATATTTTGAAAACAATTGAATATTGTATAATGGACACAAAATGTCACTCAACTTTCACCTAAAAGAGTGGTGGCTTTTCTTTGACCTTTTTGTGATTGTCTACATAAATATTGAAAAACCTGCGTTATCATTCTATAGAAAGGCATACAAAAACCTAACATCTGAACTTAATACACTGAACGGTCGCCTTTTGTCCAATAAATAAGAAGGTATTAAAGGTGATGACAATGTGTGCTGTATGAATGTTTAACTTGGACGTCATTAAATACACATATTGGCAAGTATTCTTTGACGGTTGGTGTGTATCGCCGATAAATAAATTTACGGCATGTTTTGAAAAGTCTTGAATTAATTAAATGTGCTAATTCAACATTGCTACATCGAGTATATTATGCATCATCAATAGAAACACTCAAAAAACTTACCCACCCTAAAGCTTTTCCCAAGAAGGTGTGCAGTATTTATTAAGTTCTATTTAACGAGGCCTAGTCTAATTTCAGTGCGCATGACTTTGCGCAGCTTTTTAGTTTCAGTCATGCAGTTGTATCTGCAACATAACACCTATCCAAGTATTGTAATTGTAACACAAAATGAACCACTCTCTACCATCGGCTCATACATTCACATCTGTCGTTGGCTCGCATATATCACAGTGATAAGCACGAGAAATAGTGCGTTTGTTTAAATTCATTTTAAGTACATGTATATGTCTGTGTTAATGATAGTCCTTAAAGATAAATATTTACGAAATAGGTCTAAAACTATTAGTTTAATTTGAAATAATCCTTGAAATGTTATGTGTTTT